AGCACAATTGTTTTATAGACCTGAAACATCCTGTTAGAAAAAACAAACAAACAAAATTTTAACTTTTTTTCCAAATTAAAGCAGAGCAGAGAAGTTGTTTATTGACTCTTTTAGAATCCAGACAGCATTGTTCTCAAAACGGAGAGATTTCCTACAAACAATCTGCTCATTACTCAAGCCGCACATAATGAATGTGTGACTCTATTGTTGTGACTCTGGCGGATCTGTGTTCAGGCTCAAGGTTTCCATGGTGAGATTGAAGACATGCAGCAGTGGCTGAAAGACTCGGAGCGTCAGCTGTTAGCATCAAAGGCCCTCGGAGGCTTACCAGACACGGCCCGAGAGCAGCTTAACACCCATCTGGTATGTGTTTAATACTACAACAGATCCGCCACCGATGGCCAGCTTGTAACAACTAACGAAACACAACGTTTGTAATTAAAAGATTTATGCATTTGTAATTGAGAACAGTTTTGTTTGTTTTATCTGAGCATTTTATTAAAGAATGTTAATCACGAATCTTATTTAGAGGAATAATTCACCCAAAATTGAACAATTTGTCACCCTCAAGATGAGTCAAACCCATATGACTTTCTTTGCTCCTTAAAGGGGTCATATGATGCTGCTAAAAAGAACATTATTTTGTGTATTTGGTGTAATGAAATGTGTTTATGCGGTTTAAAGTAAAAAAAAACACATTATTTTCCACATACTGTACATTATTGTTTCTCCTCTATGCCCCGCCTTTCTGAAACGCGTCGATTTTTACAAAACTAATCGGTCTGAAAAGCGAGGTGTGCTCTGATTAGCCAGCTATCCAGTGCGTTGTGATTGACCGAATACCTCAAGCTTTCTTTGTGTGAACATTTGGGCGGCGTTATGCATATCTTCCCACATAGTGAGGTAGATATGTGGGGGCGTGTTAGAACGAGCCGTTTTAGGTAGGTGTGGCTGACTCTTAACTTTTATAAAGAATATCTCTTTGGATTTGAGACTTTAGTCTTTGCAACTTTACAGATCTTCTTTATGCACCAAGAGCTTGTAACACTCCAAAGAGAAAGGAAAAAATGAAATTGCATCATATGACCCCTTTAATACAACAGGAAAAATCTCCAAGCGGATGTTTTCATGCAAAATATAAGCATATAATGATCAGAATCAAGCTCCAGACAAAGCACAATATAGAAATATAGAGCGTGAGTTTTATGAACTACATTCACTATTGTTTTTGGAGCCTGACAGACCCTGGTCTATAATTTCATTCCGTGGAAAAGAGCAGCTTGGATATTCTGCAAAATCTCATTCTGTGTTCCACAGGAGGAAAAAAGTCTTACAGGTTTAGAGTAATAAATATGAGGCTGATTGAATGGTGACAGAATTTTCATTTTTCGTTGATCTTGCACCGGGATGAAAAAACACAACACCAGTCGGACTTTGGCTTTGTCTAATTGTATGAATGTGCAATCAAAAAAGAAAAAATTCCCAATTTTTATGAAACATTTGATAGACTTCTGATTTCTGCGGATCTGTAAAGAAAATAATTACACTCAGACATCAGAAGTAACTCTTTGAACAGTAAACATATGTCAGGTTGTCAGTGAACATGATGTCTGTGTGTTTGTAGGAGCTCTGCAGTACACTGGAAGCCAAGGAGGAAATATACAAGCAGCTTCTTGACCGAGGGCAGCAGATTTTGGCCATGACCCCTGAGGGTCAAGACAGCACCACCGAACTGGACCTGCGCAACCTGCAGGAGAAGTGGGCATGTGTTCGGGCCAAAGTGACAGAGAGGAAGGTGAGAGTCTGATTTCCTCACTCTGCTCTATTAGGCTCCTCTGTGTTCTTCCTGTCAGTCTGACTCATTCTCATCATCACTGGGCTGTTGGTTTGGACCCCAGAGCTAAAGTCCTGATTATGTTCATGTAGCTGTGATATCAGATCTGTCAGCTGTTGTGCTTTGATGTGGTCAGATGAACGATTCCTTTTCGCTCGAGCACAAGCCCAAAGTGAGTAATAAATCACTATAGAACAAAGTAGAGTTGTCTGCGGTCTCTACGAAGCTGCTGAAGTGGAGTAAACCACTAGGTTCAGCCAAAAACAAAACTACTTCTGTCATCATTGACCACCTTTATCGTCGTTCCAAATCTGTGATTCGTTTTTTTTCTTTCTGTGCCACTTGAAAAGAGAACATTTTAAGATGAACACACTTCTCTTTTCCATACAATGAACGTATATGGTATAGAATAGACCACGAAAGCACATTGAAGATAAGGTACAGTAAAAATAAGACTTGAGTGCTGTATTCTTAAAAATATATAGGTGAGTGACAGATGACCACATATTCAGTTCTGGGTGAACTAATTATCGATGTTCAAAATTAGCATATAGTGTTTGATCGGCTATAGGTGAAACTGGAGGAGGCCCTGGCGATGGCCACAGACTTCCATAACTCACTTCAGGATTTCATAAACTGGCTGATGCAGGCCGAACAGACCCTCGCTATGGCCTCGCCTGCCTCCCTCATCCTGGAGACCATCATGTTCCAGATAGATGAGCATAAGGTCAGTGCTCTTTGACATGATATGCCACATAAGTCTAATAAAAACCTGCTTATTGCTGAAACTTCACCCCATAGATTATAGATCTTATTGTGAACAGTTCATCTATGCAGGTGTTTTGCATAAAAATTGCAGCAACTTATGTAATAACAAATAGTAATGTAATAACTACACATAAGTATATTATTAATGTAATAAAATGTTCATAATGTGATACTTTTCTTAAAATGTATAGGTGTAGTAAAAGTTTTCACATTATAAGAAATCTATTACATTATAAAGTCACTAAAACATTGTCATATTGTTATAATTGTAATAGTTTTTTTTTTAATAAATGAGATGCACCAGATATAAATTCATGCAATTATTGTTCTTATTGAATATCGCATTACTTCTTATAAATACGTAAGCATATGAAATATTTGGCAACAAAAAGTGTACACACTGCTGTATGGTAAAGAGTGTACAATACCAACACTGTGTACAAAGTATGGCTTATTTTGTAAAATCAGTATAGAAAACAAAAAAAGAAATCTCTTTTTAAAAACTGTAACTTTAAAACAACAATGCTAATATTATATAGTTGCAATAATGTTAATATTATTAAATGTGTTATATTGAAAGATATATTGCATGTTCTTACTATAATAATAACAACAACAGTAAATTATGCATAATTACCTGCAATAACCCTAAACCAAAGCCAAATCCTAACCCTGTAGTAAGATCATGTTGTTAATTAATATTACTCGGTACTTAGGACTCCATGAAATACATTGTTACTGATAATTATTATATTATAAGATCGTTTCTACTGTACACTCTGTGCTTCTTTTACATTATCAACTGTGATTATATTGTAAGTGCGATCATAATGTAATACATTTTTCATACAATAACATAATTACATTATGTGAAAAATCATCATCTGATGCTACTTGCATTTCAATGTGACTTTAAATGAGCCATATTGTTGCAGTTGAAAGGAATAGTCCTTTTCCATAATTTTATTTATTTATTTTTTTTCTAAAATGGATCTGCTGGATTTGCAGGTGTTTGTGACTGAGGTGAACTCACATCGGGATCAGATCATCGAGCTGGATAAGACAGGAACACACCTCAAGTACTTCAGTCAGAAACAGGACGTGGTGTTGATCAGGAACCTCCTGCTGAGCGTTCAAGGCCGCTGGGAGAAGGTCGTGCAGCGGTCAGTGGAGAGAGGACGCCTGCTGGACGATGCCAGGAAACGTGCCAAACAGGTGGGAAAAATAAAACTCATTTAAAAGCCATGCTTTTTTAATCACACATCCTTGCTAGATATAGTCACTATAGGAATGATTGAATCACAGAGAACTTAATTGGACTTCTTTTGCCACTGATCAACTTAACGAGACTCTTTAATGTCAAAGTGAATTTACAATGCGGAAGTTTTTTTTTTTTTTTTTTTTACATCTTTGGCATTCTGTTAAGGGTCTACAGATGAAAAATAGCCTTTCGGCTAATTTCTGGCACATTTACAGTAATTTTCTCAATATGTGACCCTGGAGCACAAAAGCAGTCTTAAGTCGCTGGGGTATATTTGTAGCAATAGCCAAAAATACATTGTATGGGTCAAAATTATAGATTTTTCTTTTATGCCAAAAATCATTAGGATATTAAGTAAAGATCATGTTCCATGAAGATATTTTGTAAATTTCCTACCATAAATATATTAAAACTTCATTTTTGATTAGTAATATGCATTGCTAAGGACTTCATTTGAACAACTTTAAAGATGATTTTCTCAATATTTTGATTTTTTTGCACCCTCAGATTCCAGATTTTCAAATAGTTGTATCTCAACCAAATATTGTCCTATCCTCACAAACCATACATCAATGGAAACTTATTTATTTAGATTTCAGATGATGTATAAATCTCAATTTTGAAAAATTGACACTTAAGTTTTGTGGTCCAGGGTCACGAATGTCATAGTATAAGAGGATATGAAGATCACTCATGTGCATATTGTGAGGATTCGTCTTGACCATGAACGGGTCTAAATAAGGGGTATAGGATCAAATAAATGTAGGGAAATCCCTGTATTTTCGCTGCAAGACGAGACAAAAGATTTGTTATTCCCATGCATAAAGCCAGAGCTTCACAGGAATGGCTTAAAACAACAATGCAGATGTCCTGGAGTAGCCAAGTCAAAGTCCAGATCTCAGTCCAACTGAGAATTTATGAGGGAACTTGAAATACGCTGTCCACTCACAGGCTCCATGCAGACAGACTGATCCAGAGCTGCAAAGCAGAATGAGAAACACTGCAGTGGCCAGATGTGCAGAGCTGATGATAAAGACCTACAGTATCAACACAGACTTTTAAAGGCGCATCTTATAAATACTGACCTGAGGGGTTAAATATGTACTGTATGCAAACAATTATTTAATAACTGCCATCGATTTTTGAGCAAACGTGTTGGGCATAAAATAATATTTTGTGGTTCGGTGTGGAAAAAAGCCAAAAGAAATTCTCTGTGGTTCAGTGATGTAAAACATTGTTTGGTTCTGATCTAAGATGAAAAAAAGAAAATGCTATAATATACTGCATATTACACGAATGGATTCTCACGCTCTCGTCTTCTGCAGTTCCATGAGTCCTGGAACAAACTGATGGAGTGGCTGGAAGAGTCCTAGAGAGCGCTGGACTCTGAGCTGGAGATCGCTAATGATCCGGACAAGATCAAGACGCAGTTAACCCAGCACAAGGTGACGACACCAGTCCAACACACGTCTGCTGTTAACAGGTGTTCTCAGTGATCAGCCGAGACACATGACCACTTCCACCTGGTGCCAGATGCATAATCTAGGTTAAGAACTAGTCTGGCCAAGTAGCAGTTAATCAAGAGCTAATAAGGATTACTTTCTGGATTAAATCAGACCAGCTAACTTTTAATGTAACTGATACAAAAAGCCATGACCATTCTTGAAGAAGAAAAAAAACAAGATGACTAACTTCCAAATGCCTCTCTTGTGACCACCTCTCTTATTTTGACACGCTCTACATCACTTTAATGGAAATGAAAAGTGAACAAACAAACCCATGTTACGCAACTTATGAGTAAGAGGGAATGGAAGCAAACAAAAAGGGTAAGGGTAATTTTCATTTGTAATCCATTTGAATCGCTTGTTGTGCTGTGCCTTCATATCCTAGAACAATCACGTGTTAGAGGAACAGGCTACTTTTCACCACGCTCACATTCAGGACAGATGAGCATTTAAACTACACTATACACTGAACAGTTTACTCGTTAGCACCTATATTTGGCGCTGACCACTTGTGATCCGGTCACAAAAAATGGATTTAAACAGAGTCATACAGACTTCCTGTTCACACCATTAGCACCTATGTTTTTATCCCCCATCTGGATAAAAAGTGGAACATCTGACGTGTTGCTGAATGGACAGCGTGAATCACAATACCAGGTGTTTTTTCACTCACGGCTATTGTGTTTTTCACTGACTGTGGGTCAGAAGTGTCATCCTGTTAAACTCCTGTATAATTAGTTCCCCCATTTTTTGGGAGATGTTTTTTTTATGTTTTAACATCGGATGCGACATCTAAAGTCTGTCTACACTGTATTCAAATCATTGAACTTTGTGTCAGTACGTCATAAATAGAACGCGGCAGCAGTGTACTGTCAGGGATTTGCCGCGCCACATTCAGTGTAGACAGCATCACTGATTATAATGGGTTTGTTTGTCTTTTGTCGCGTTGCATCACTCCGCTAGCGTCCGGTGTGGACACGGAGAGGTCATGATTTCAGGCCGCACAATGCCGAAAAAGTGAAGAAAACAGACTGAGATGTTAGATGTTTTTCAATTGCAATTCTTTAAAACTGAATCAGGCTCGTCAGTCACAGACGATGTGCAGCATCAGTGGTTTCACGAGTGGGTGGCACTCAGAACAGAGGATTGTGTGCTGCGTGGTGCTATGTAATTAACAGCTCAGCAGTGCTTCAGATGTTCTGATGAGTCAGTCACAAATACAAATGGCAGGATTCGATGACATCGGGCTTCCCGTAAGGCCTCACAGGATGGCTTGCGGGACATGTGCCCTTGAGCTCCGTTCGAATGACCCTTCGCCTCTGTTTGTCTTGTGTGGCGGATTGTAGGAGTTCCAGAAAGCTCTGGGCAGCAAGCATTCGGTGTATGACACCACCAGTCGCACGGGCCGAGCTCTGAAGGACAAGACCTCCTTGCTAGATGACAACCAGAAACTGGATGACATGCTCAGTGAGCTCAGGGACAAATGGGACACAGTCTGCGGGAAATCTGTGGAGAGGTACATGCACATTTGGGTGGATTTCAGGAAAACACCAGACTTTCCCCTATTTAAAAAAAGTATATATTTTGCATAACCAAATTTAAGGCTCTTTCGGGTTTTATTAGAATGATGTGTATTCTAGAATTTGACTTTTTATGACAGTTTATGCACATTTGCAGCCAAACTCTTATTACTGCAGTGTTCCCAGGTGTTTTATGTTTTACTTTTAGAATTGCCATTATTCTCAAAAGCGATTCTCTTTACAGTAATGAAATATGAATTCAAATCATAGTGAATTAAAGGCAGCAAAACATAAATGCAAAATAGCTGAGGTGATTAAAAATCCCTCAAATATGTATTGTCTGGGAACACTTTACAGTGAGGTCCTATTAGTAAATGTTAGTTAATGCATCAGCTAACAATGAGCAATACATTTGTTGCAGTATTTATTTGTTAATATTAGCACATAAAAATACAACTGTTCATTGTTAATTCATGTTAGCTCAGATCCATTAAATAAATGTTCAACATAGTAAATGTTGAAATGAACTGACAAACTAAAATTAAACATGCTTTAGAAGCATTTTTCATTGTTAATGTTAACTAATGTAGTTAACTAATGCCAACAAATGAAACCTTATTGCAAAGTGTTACCCATTTTCCTTTATGCATTCTTATGAATTCAAACCTAACATATTAATGTTGAGTAAACAATATTTAATATCTGTGTTATTTGCCAACTAACTGTATGATTCATGGTCAGACAATATATATATCATAAATGTCATAACTATGTATTTGACATCATATGGGCTATTTTTTTCTACAGGCAGAATAAGTTGGAGGGCAGTATTTATTTGTTAATATTAGCATATAAAAATACAACTGTTCATTGTTAATTCATGTTAGCTCAGATCCATTAAATAATATTAACAGATACAACTTTTGATTTTAATGTATTAGTAAATGTTGAAATGAACTGACAAACTAAAATTAAACATGCTTTAGAAGCATTTTTCATTGTTAATGTTAACTAATGTAGTTAACTAATGCCAACAAATGAAACCTTATTGCAAAGTGTTACCCATTTTCCTTTATGCATTCTTATGAATTCAAACCTAACATATTAATGTTGAGTAAACAATATTTAATATCTGTGTTATTTGCCAACTAACTGTATGATTCATGGTCAGACAATATATATATCATAAATGTCATAACTATGTATTTGACATCATATGGGCTATTTTTTTCTACAGGCAGAATAAGTTGGAGGAGGCTCTGCTGTTCTCAGGTCAGTTCACAGACGCACTGCAGGCTCTCATCGACTGGCTTTATAAAGTGGAACCACAGCTAGCTGAAGACCAGCCTGTGCATGGAGACATAGACCTCGTCCTGAACCTCATCGACAGCCATAAGGTACCCATATGAGTTTGACTGATTTACACAACCTGCTTCTTCATAACTGGACTCTAGATGGATGAACGAATGAATGAAACTGAAACAGATATCTAAATTAATGAAACAACATCATGAAAAACTATCACAGTATATTACATGATTGTTTTGGCACATCCCTAGATATTTTCAATATTCTCTTATAATCTTTGTCCATCCATTGAAAGTCTAGATACAAAAAAAAATTTAAAAAATTTTTTTCATTATTCTGTGTAATCTGAGTCTTCTGAAGAGACTTTCAGAGACATTGCTTTACATGACAGATTTAATTTAAGCTTTTAATCACATACATTTTAGGCACATACATTGAGCACATCAAATACTGTACTGTAGTCAAACTCAACGAGCCAGAACAAACCCCACCTAAAATACAATTCAAATCTAGGTTAAAAAAAAATGACGATGATAAAATATGGTGATAAAGCGCACCCTGGGATATACCGTGGTGGGTACTGCACATGCTCATGCCTCAAAAGAGCAATTGCACATGATGGGACGTCCAGTCTCCCCCAAGCCATGCTCTGACCTGATCTCAGTGCTGCTGCTGTGTGCGTGTGCATTTTTCAAACCTTGAGCAGCTTTCTTAAAATATCCGTCCCTGTGCTGTTAACTTCTTAGTTCGGTTCTTGGAGTCTATGGCAGGAATATAATTATGCTGTAGTGTCATCAGAGGGAGTGTAGTATGATTTCAATTAGAAGTGACAGGAGTGCTGGCAAGCCCAAACTCAAACACATCTCCAGAGCGGACATCAGAGCACACTCGAGCTGATGAGCTAAGTGATGACCTCATTCGTGTTCGGAACTGAGAACCTAAGAAAAAGGTCACCAGCAATCTTCTGACTATGTTTGGTGCTGTTTACACATGATTTCTATGGATGCAATCAAGATCTGGGTGATCTAGCTCAAAGAAATTCCAGCTTTTTGACAACATTCTATAAATATCTCAAGTCGCAAGACACGGAAGGATCGCCTAATGTGATTCATATTTCATACACCACATCATCAAAGTCACAGAGCCAGCATAATCTTTTTTTTTTTTTGTAATGACTAATGCTGATGGAAAGTCATAGGCTACATAATTAATTAAAACCTGGTGATGACATGACTGCTGTTTTGTGCAAATGTCGTAAAGCCTGGCTGTTAGGAAATACTAACGTTAGGAGTGTGATTGATAGCAGTGGACAAGTACCTCCTAATTGGTCCCTAATGTGATGACATCAGAGGTGGACACAGGCTCTGGCATGACATAGACAGCACTGTACAACTTCACAAAATGTGCATGGAATGTTGATGATAAAAATAATAGTTCTATATAAAACTGCTGTCTTGAAATCTAAATTACAAATTGACTATTTAACCCATCATGTATCCATGCTATATACATTTAATGATTATCACTGCATCACATGAGCATTAGGAGTTCTATTTTAGAATGCATATGTGTGATGTTGTTGCTTCCTATGCAGATCATTCCAAATCACTCGTTTATGAGGTTCCATTTGGGTTAGAATGCTGTCTTTGTAGGCAGCTAAATGTGGATTGGTTGAATGTATGTATTTCTCCATGTGTGCTGCAGGTGTTCCAGAAAGAGTTGGGCAAAAGGACTGGCAGCGTGCAGGCTTTGAAGCGCTCGGCCCGTGAGCTTATTGAGATTAGCCACGATGACTCGTCCTGGGTCAAAGTTCAGATGCAAGAGCTGAGCACACGCTGGGAGACGGTCTGCAGCCTCTCTGTGTCCAAACAGACTCGACTCGAGCAGGCACTCTGTCAGGTAAGACATGCTGTTTGTCATCACTCGAGACCTGAAAATTGTTTATAATAACAATTTTCCACATTCTTTTTGACCGTTAGAATAAAACAAGCTGCTGTAGCTACTGTAAAAACATCTATGTAAATCACCACGGTTTTGATTGGCTAACCCTGCATGTAAAATCAGGAACAAAACGAACTTACAAGTGTCAGAATTGCTGTCAGATCCAGAAGAGTTTGTGTTGCTCCAGCCTTCAATAACCAGACCACAATGTGACACTCACTGTTCGGCCTAATGCTGGGATGCTGGGATTGTGTATGAAAGTAACAGTATATTTGAACTCCAAAACATAGGGTATCAGAGGATTTTTAAAATGCTAATTTATAGGCATGGTAAAAAAAAAATCATTAAAAAATCTTATTTATATCTTATATACTGTATATAGCCCCGCAATAACCTCCCCTTGCTGGGTTGCGTCGAAAGACGATGATCTTGTATCGACGATAGCCAGAGATATTGTCAAAATAAAGATTAAGATATTTGGCATTTCAAATTAATGTAGGCCTGTTACATTCTTATTTTGAATATGCGGCGTCAGATGGCGAAAGCTCCATCATTCCGTTTTTACTTTCACTTTCTGCATAGTGAATTGAATTGAGATTAAAACGTTCACCGGCGTAACTCTTGGTCAAAGTTTGCACGTTGTTTGTGTGTGATATCCATTGGCTCGCCTTCATGGTTTAAAACAGAAATATTTCCAACATTGCAATGTAACCAGTTACCAACGTACCGAACCGAACCGTGACACCACTGTGTCGTATCAAACCGAACCGTGAATTTTGTGAACTGTATATATATATATGTATCTGTAAAAAAATCTGTAAAAGCAAATCTGTAAAAAATAAATGAAAATAATAAAAATATTTTATAATAATAATATTTTTTCTGTAAAAAATAATGAAAAAATATCTTGTCAACTATAAATTGCTCTCTGTGAATGCACATGTTGAACACATTTGTACACTGTTCCTCAGGCTGAGGAGTTCCACTCCACCGTTCATATCTTACTGGAGTGGCTTGCAGAGGCCGAACAGAGCCTTCGCTTCCACGGTGCTCTGCCTGACGATGAAGAAGCCCTCCGCGCTCTCATTGAACAGCACAAGGCAAGTTTCCCACAACAATAACAAAGAATCCACACGTGTGACGTTTACCTTGTAAAACCTTTCAGTGACAATAGCATATCAGTATTTACTGGCAACAATGATGGGCCACAGTAAACACAAAAAATGAAATTGTATCTGTTCTACATTACAACATTGAGTTTAAATGCAAGTGTGTGCCAGAGGGATCGTAATCTTTCCAAGACAGAACGTGTGTGTGTGTGTGTGTGTGTGTGTGTGTGTGTGTGTGTGTGTGTGTTTTCCACAACCCTGACATTCTTTTTTTATTAGCTCCACTCATAATGTGAGGTAGTGATCCGTAGCCCGGTCTCTCTCCACGTCCAACTGAGTAACAAAAGCCATACATGGCTTCAAATCTTTATTAACTACTGCTTGCCAGGAAAGAGTTCCCATATTTCATCTCATATAGTGTGACCTCATATTCAATATCCAAAATAGTTTGTTCCCCTGAGACATTATTCATGTTCACAGTTTGAGAAAGCAAACATCCTGGGAGATTATATGTTTCATCTTTGGTAAAGACGCCAGTTACTAACGATGGGTAGTAATACATAATCTCTACATACTGAGAATCACAATTCTTTGCATTGTGGTGTCTGAGCCTTCTCTTGAAATGGCGAGCCAAATGCGTTTCACACATCTAACTTTGTCCTGAGGCATGATTCGTGTCCTCGGATCATGAAGCAGTGTTGTTGGAGATGGGCTACTCTTTGTGTAACCATGGCCATTTAATAATGGAAGAATGTTTGATGCATGCAGGAGTTTATGAAGAAGCTGGAGGAGAAGCGACAGGCCCTGAATAAAGCCACGAGCTTGGGAGAAGCCATCCTGTCCATCTGCCACCCAGACTCCATCACCACCATCAAACACTGGAACACCATCATTAAAGCGCGGTTTGAGGAGGTTCGTCTATTTCTCCCAAACATTCTGATGAGAAGCACATCATATTTAGGCATCATATGTATATTTTTTATAAAAGTAGGTTACTAAAAGTAAAGTTCTGCTCACTTAAAATCATCCGAGGGACATGTAAAATGTCCAAACGCATTCAATGACAGATTTTTACCACAATAACTGAAAGAGTGAGGGAAAAAAGAACATTTGGTTGCACAAAAAATGCAGAAAACATGTATCTGCCTCAAACAACACTTTCGAGTGTTTTTCAGATTTGACACCACTCTCATCTGGATCAGTGAATCCAGAAACTAGTTATTTTTCAAAAGTGCTCATATTACTAACTTTATAAATACAACAGTTCCAGGCGGACTAGAAAAACTATGTTTTTCTGTCATTTCCGAAAGTTGTGTGAAGGCAGCCAGTCAGATCTTGCCAGATTAAGAAAGTATTTTCCTGTTTTGTGTGCTACTTCAAATATCTGGGCAGGTAACCAAAAGGTTATAACTGTTATATAACTAATAACTGTTAGCGCTGTGTACGGTATGATCAGATTTCTGTGTGATGGTCAGGTAATGGCCTGGGCCCGTCAGCACCAGCAGAGACTCTCCAGTGCTCTGGCCGAACTGCTGGCCACTCAAGAACTGCTGGAGAACCTGCTGAACTGGCTGCAGTGGGCGGAAACCACGCTTGGCGAGAAAGACAAGGATCCTCTTCCTCAAGAATTAGAGGAAGTCAAAACGCTCATCGCTGAGCACCAGGTACCGTCAAGAGCTGCAACGTCATTACATAATTAGTATGAATTGTAGGAACAAGCTGTTTGTGTCTCCGTTGTGCACCAGGCATTCATGGAGGAGATGACCAGAAAACAACCAGATGTGGACAAAATCACCAAAACTCATAAGAGAAAAGCCACAGCGGATCCTCCGGTTCAGTCTCAGATCCCTATTCTAGAGAAAGGACGGACAGCCAGTGAGTACCAGCATCCAATCTGAGCCCCGTGTTTTCATTCAGTTTGGCACAGAAATAAATAACAGCCCACATAGAACAAAATATTTTTTCTGGTGTTTTTTTGTTAGTACTTAACAGAAAAGATGATGCATATTTTAAATAGACATCACAATAAACATGAAGTTGACTTTATAGTAAGTGAACTAAAATAAACATTAACAAAATCTTAATTGAAAATTCTACTTTAATATGATATCTTATTTAGCTTTTGTTTATGGTGAAATTAAGTTGTAAAAAAATAAACAAGCAAAAAATATTGACCTACATTAAGTAAGATTTTAGCTTGTGTCTAAAAATATATGGTGTTTTGTATGGTATAAAGTATGGTGTGGTCTTTAAAATAAATAAACTTTTTACTTTGTTTTTGTCTTTGGGATCAATATTCTTGATTAATATTAAATCAAAATGTAAGTTTTGAACTAGGGCTGGGCGATATGGCCAAAAAAATTATCATGATAATTTTTTTCATATCAGTCGATATCGATAATTATCACGATAAATGTCAAA